TATTTTATTAATAATAAAAAGTATTTTAAGTATCCTTTTTTGTTATAAGTTCATCAATTTTATTTTTTTAACTGTAAATTGAATGTATGTGTGTATGTTTTTTGATATATATATATATATATACAGGGTACCTGTAACAGTGCGTACAATTATATTCAGTATACCTTTGGTTTATGCCAAACGTATGCAACATACTGTATATCCGCAAAAAATTTACGTCTACAGTACTCATCAATGCCTCCAACTATACTCCACCCCCGCCCCCCTTTTTAGCGTTGAACCTTCCACCCATTTCTCACCCGCTCCAACGGTGAGCCACCACATTTAAACAATCACAATAAATATATTTTTCGTTAATGAATATTTTTAATATACGTAAAACCCATTGTGAGAGCAACAGAACAAAAAGACGTTCACAATAAAAATAAAAACAACCTTGTTGTAAGCGTTTTATTTTCCATAATAATAAGTCACCTTTGTTATTGTACACATTGTACATTAAATAAATGCATACGCAGCAGGTATAACAATATTGTACCTGTTGTATTATTATTTATCCTATACATGTCCTACATAATTTATGCAAAATTCAGGTGTTAAAAATATTATTGTTTGTCATAGTTATAAAAGTTTAGATGACATCATTTTGCTTAAAATGTTAAGATATTGAATTATTAGATGTACATATGTTATTATTTGTTTATTTGCTCGTTTTTGGTCCCACTGAAGTAAAATTAAATAGTAAAATATTTTTATTTATTTTTTTTCTTCTGAATTTTTTGGTTTCGTTTTAATATTCTATTTAAGGGTTTAATTTTGAAATCATTACGAATTGGAAAATTGGAAATTATGTTTATGAATAGTTCGTTACTTTTATTTTAAAATCTACGCAAAAATAGTTTTATTAGTATTTTTTAAGATGAAAAATATGAGGTACTTTTGCGACTAATATTAATTAATACCTAGACAGTGCTTAACCATCAGATTTTTGTCGAAAAACACCCATACGGGTAAGATTTTTAGCCAGTTACCTCAACCACGTCATATTCTAGCATTTTTTCTTCACTATTACGTCTGGATACTGACCTGTAGTCATTCTCGTTTTCTCCATTCCCATGGTGTTGTTGGTATTTTCTGGGTGACCTCCCGGAACTCCCCTTCACTCCATCGTACTTATTCTCCCTTCCGTAAATGCTACCACCAAACGGGTCTTCGCCCAAGTAGTACCGATGAACCGGCGAACCGCCCCTCCTTCCCGAATCGTCCCTCTCTCTTCGCCTATTCATCGGAGAGCTGTCGCTAATGTTCGTGTCGATGATGTGGCCCTTTTGGTACGACGGTGACGGTGACCTTTGTTTCTGTGCCGCCCTCTGTTGTTGCTTCGCTTTACGTTCAGCGCTTGCTGATCGGATTTTTCCAACCAGTTTTCGAATTGACTGACCTGTAAGGAAATTCAATCGTTTATAAACCGGTAGGAACACTATTCTGGTACAAAACCCTAATTAGTGAAGAACGCTGATAAAACGTGGGCTATTATATTCCCAGATATCTAGCGAATGCTGTAGTGAAAACTGCATCCCAATTCTACATTCGTTTTGACGGGAATCGTACTCAAATAAACAGACAGACAGACAATTATTCCCAACAAAATTATTTTTTTCGTTTTAATAAACTTTATCTTTAAATTATCTCTAGTGGGTAAAGTTTATTCAAACATTAATTCACTAATACATTAAATTAACACTAGTAAAATTCAAAGCGCCTCAATTTAAATTTAGTTTAAAATTTTTAAGCATATTATAATATAGGTAATATATATATACATATTTTTTTCAGGAACAATTTGCGAGAAGTGTGACATAAGAAGAGTTTTGCTGCAAGGGTGAGTTTGGATGTATTTTTTATTGTACTTTAAGGGCGGTAAAATGGTTTTGGCGTAAAACAGGGATGGCGAACCAATGGTACGCGTGCCATTAGTGGCACGCGACACAATGTTTTGGGCACGTCACTAAT